CCACGCGGCGAACCACGAGCTAGACAAGGCGACGCGGTCCCGACCCGAGGTCTGCCGCGACGAGCTCTGCGGCCGCACCCTCCACGGCATCGGCCCGCGCGGGCAGGTCAACGGCGGCACACGCATGGGCCAAGGCCCCGGGAACGACCTCGGGCTGTGCAGCCTATGTTTCGCCCCGCTCTATGTCAACATGCACGACCCCGAGGGCCGGGCGCTGCGCCGCCGCATCGAGAGGCGGTATCTGACGCAGCTGATGGCGGGCTGCGGGAAGAAGTGGTGCGCGAACGAGTGGTGCAAGACGGGGAGGGCGAATCAGGGGCTGGAAAAGTGGGGCAGCAGTGCGGCCGCCGCGCTGCCGCTGGTGAAGCCGCTGTTGGAGGAGATTGGAGATCACAGCAAGCCGATGCACTTTTGCGTGGATGAGGCGTCGCAGCGGCGGAAGACTATGGCCGACATGCTGGCTGCGGAGGGCGTGTGGGAGCGCGAGTGGTGTGTCGCTGCCCTGGAGGCAGAAGGGGGGAATCTTGCAAAGGCCAGGGGGTGGTTGGGGGACTGGGCGCCTACAAAGGTTACGAGGTGATGGAATTGCGGAGCTATGAGGTGACGAACGGATGATACCCAGGCATAATAGACGGTGATGTGCAAGGTTTAACAATGGTTAGAAACTCAATCATTTTAACGTTCAATCTGTTGGTGCTCGCTACTCAACCCTTCTCCCTTCATTCCACTCCACCCCTACACCATGCCTCCATCAGCCCCAACGAGGACCTCTGGCAGTTAGTGGCTCTGCAACAGCGTCAGTAGAGCAGACAACAGGAAGTGCCCAGAACCTCCAAGGAGATGCTTACGCAGCAGGAGCAGCCACTGCAGTCTGCGCAGGAGCATTTGTTGCATGTGCAAGGGTTCATGATGACGGTTTGGGTTGACTGGGGTTGTTGGGTCCGATCTGAAGCGTATGATTGTCAACCCTGGTTTGTGAGAAAGAGCATGGACAAACTTGGCTTCCTCGGGGCGAGTTTGTCCCTTTATAGACTTTCCTCGTCCAAACACTTCACTGATCAGAAGCACATCCCTGCTGAACGCCGAAACCTTGCGTGGACATCGCTCCTGCACCTCTGCCCATCTGGAAAGAGGATGAGGAAAGGTAACCACTCGCGGCTTGCCCGCCCTCACCGGTGTAGGACAAGCTCTCGCGGATCGTAGGCCAAGACATGTTAAATGCGCAGCCCAGGCGGGGAAGCAAGACAGAAAGTTCTCGGCGATGGATAGTCTCATGTCGCAACCAATCCCAAACCGCCTCGGGTGTTGAAGTGTGGTTGCTCAGCGTGTTACACTGCACATCACCTACCAGTCCTAGGTTATCTCTGCCATCTCGGCTCCAGCCACAGGCAGCGGGCACAATATAAGCAGAGAGTATAAGTCCAGATTCTATGAGAATAGCAAGGGAAAGGATTAGAACAAATGGAAAGAGAAGGAGAAAACGGGAGAAGACAATTGACAAGAAACTGAAGAAAAAGAAAAAAAAAAAGAAAAAGAAAAAGAAAAAGAAAAAGAAAAAGAAAAAGAAAAGAAAAAAAAAAGAAAAAAGAAAAAGAAACAGAAAAAGAAAAGAAAAGCTATAATATTATCTTTACAAGTATTTCCTCTCTATCTCCCTCTTTATCTATCTCTCTGTCCACCTCGTCATTTTCCTTACCTTCCTTCTCATCTTCTTTCTCATCTTCTTTTTCATCTTCTTTCTCATCTTCTTTCTCATCTTCTTTCTCATCTTCTTTCTCATCTTCCTGATTATAGCTATCATCTCTAAACTTGGGTTTATCTCTATTCATACCAAATCAATGGCTCTCTCCTTGCCGTTCTTTTGCAGGTACTGGCGATATGGCCAACATCTCGGAGTATGGCTACTCCCTTTCTCTACCCGCATACAAACTGGGTTCTGGCAGCCAATCCAGCCAGACGACCCCAAGGCCAAGTCCCTGGTGCTTTCAACAAGACCCTTATGTCTTGCCGCACATATAAAGCATGCGATACATCACCAGGTCACTCGACTCCTACGGAATGTTGGAGCTTGACCCTCTGCCACCCCATATGCGGAGTTCTGGCATCCAACCCATCGTGCAGCGAACCTGTAATGGCGGCTATCCTGGTCTTTCTCACGCTTCTGAGCCGCAAGAAGCCGATGACATATAGGTGCCCTTCATACGGTAGGAGAGGCCACCCACAACGTTTATCGCAGAACCTGCACATACCCTGGCCTCAGGAGGGGCTGCCGTCCGGGGCGGAGACTTTATGGCTTGGCCGACAGGTGTTGCGGGCGTTGGATGCTCCATGACTGTGGCGACTAGTGTCGTGTGCCGTGGGGGATTGGTAACGTTACGGAAAGGAAGCGACAGGTAATAGCCATGACCCGTACGGTTCAATCCCTACCGGCGGAGCTGCATCAGGTCGTCAAGTGTGAGGTGTTCCTTGTCGAGAATAGATTTGCCGCGTCTGAAAAAGAGTGGAGGATACCTAGGAATGGCAGAGAGCAGTTGGATCTGCATGAGAGAGGCGTGAGAATCAGTTCAAAGTCATAGGGGGGCTCTGCAGCTTGTGGGCTTTTTGATAGAGCCAATATCCGCGCACCAATCTACAAGTGGCGGATACAGCCTGTGATGTGGGATTCGAACCGAGCAATGTTGTATTTGGCGGACTGCCAGTCAAGGTCGACCTCTTCAGGGGCAGCGTATGTAGAAAGGTTGATATCAATGTGAAAGGCCGCAAGGTCGTCAAGCTCCGGGTTGTTGTCTTCATACTCTTTATCCCGATCCAAAGAACCAAAGTCCTTAGACACAACCCAAATATCAGGCTGGATGAGGCTGGTATTCTGTGGATTCCGGGATGGTGGAACGAGTTGCGCTGTTCTGTAGCGTCTGGTCGTTCCTCAGGGGCAGTTTGTCCTCGAGCGCCATGGTGCCTTCCAGGGGTAGGTCATCCTGCTGGGGGGCAAAGCCGTAGTGCCGGCTACCTTCGCATCTCTCTCTTTTTCCAAACCTCAAGGTAAGATATTGTGATCTTTCATGCAATACCAAAGAACACCTACCTTATTTGTCGCTGAGCCTGCATAGACCCGAATCTCAGAGGGATCCATCAGTGTCGGTAACCCAGCTGTTGGTATAGTTGGCGGTCTAGTCGTTGTCGTTGCCGTTGGTGCTGCTGCTCTCGTTGGTGCTGTTGCTCTCGTTGGTGCTGTTGCTGTCGTTGGTGCTGTTGCTGTCGTTGGTGCTGTTGTTGTCGTTGGTGCTGTTGCTGTCTTGGTGCTGTTTTTGTCGTTGGAGGGCTTGCAATTTGGCGGGCATGGCGTAAGCGGGAGCAGGTAGGAAGCGAGAGGTAGCGCCGGTAGTCTTTGTCAAGCCCTAGCCGAGGGAGCCGCATCAAGTCGTCAATAGTAAGCGATTGCTTAACAAGGATGGCCTTGGCTATTCAAGAGAACGAGTCGGCGATGACGTTGCATAGCATCTCCGGGTCCGCTTCGGATAACCGCAAGAACCAATCCATCGTGGTGGGCGGGCTCTGCAACTCCTTGAAGTTCTCAAGCGTCCCAGTGTCTGTACACCTATCTACAAGAAAGGCAGCAAAGTGTGTGATGTATGCTTCGAGAGGGGAGATGTTCGCTTTGGAGGAGTCCGAGTCTATGTCGAGTTCCAAGTCGACGAGGTGCCGAACTCAACAAGAGGAAGTTCGTCAATCTCAATATCGCTACTATCTTTATTCGATTCCCTCTTCGGAGGAACTCATGTTCATCAGAACAACCCAATGGTTAACCTGGTCGTCCGAAAGAGACATGGTTTCTTAGTACTTATAGGGGGAGGTCATCTTGCTCGGCATCGGTGCCTTTCTTTGGGCGTTTGGCGCTTGTTGACTGTAAGTCGTTTTTGAGTGGTCTGATCGACCCTGTTGGAGGTGGGGTTGTATAGCCATGTGTTAGCTGTTGGATGGCAACGAGTGCGGAGAATTCGGGATAGAACGCAGAAAGTAGAGTTGAAGATGGAAAGTTCAAGTCTCGGTTTTGAGCGTGGGTGTTTCCTTCCGGCGGTCCTGAAGACCAAGAGAAAGTACCTTTAGCTTCACTCCTTCCTTGTGTGGCAGCCATTAGATTCATCGCTCTTTCATTGGCTTAAGGGGGTCCCTTGAATCTCACATTGTCCTTCTTTGCAGAATAGTTGTGTGGACACAACGAATCGATCAAGTGTTGCGATAGATGGTTAACAATGGACAACGTTGCCCAACGTTTGTCTACCTAGGTAGGCTCAACCACTCAACGTTATGAACTTCCCCCACTGATGTCGGTGACTGTGGCCGACTGAGCCATCCCAAAATTGTGATATCTACACATATCAAACGAGCCGGTCTCGGAGCACTAGTCTGCAAGGTGGTGGCCAGCTTGTTAATGTGGGCTGTGAAGTGTGCATTGTTGTCTTTGCAGGATTATGAGTTCAGCTCGAGTATCTCAGGGGTAGCTTCGAGAGTAGTATCGGTGCTGACGTGGATGCCTCAATACCATCAAGCTCAGAACCTTTGTCCTCTTCGCTGTAATTACTCATCCACCAGGTCAGAATCATCAAGCTGGGAAGATGTGATCTTCTGCCGGGGGCGAGGGATTAAGAACTAGCCGTTGTCCTGCAGGCTCTGGTCGTCCCTCGGGGGCTGCCCGTCTTGTAGTGGCTGTTTGTGACAAAAGGAACGGAGAAGATGGGTCTCTTTTGCCGAAAGATGAAGCTGCAACGCTCAACATACTTCTCCACTGCACGAGAATCCTTACCAAACGTCCAACCAGCCACATCGGCCTAGTGGCACCATGTGACTGTTTCGCAGGGGTTGCTTGTCTTGTTCCAGCTGCCCATGACGAGGGGAATGTGAAAGATATGTGCTCTTTCTGCCGGTCGAGAAGCTGGAGCTGCAACGTTCAGCATACACTCTATGTGAAGGAAAACCTTGCCACGGGTTCACCCAACTACGACGGCTGGATGGCGCAACGGTAGCGTGTGAGCCTCCTAAACGGAGGTAAAAATAGCTCAAGGTTGAGGGTTCGAGTCCCTCTTCAGTCGAACTGTTCTTTTTGCTCTGTTTCCCTTTGGGAGAAGAGAAGAAAAGGTTGGTAGGGGGTTGACACGGGGGCATTTTCACCTTGGAACCGGCAAGCGGCAACCCTATCACGCTGTTTTCACAGAAAAGAGCGCTGCTGTGCCTTTATTGATAGGACCTGGCTTATCTCTTTCAGAGGTTCCTAATGGGCTGGACTTTTGAAATTTTTTTTATTTATTTTTGGTGGGCTTCTCGAACTGTTACCCCTGAACCCACTCCACCACTTCCATGCACCCTAACCCTGACCGTCCCTTCTTCACCCCAGATTGAATGATTTGACCAAGACGTTAACACACGAGAACAACTCCTTCAACTCAACAGCTCAGTTTTCTAATCTGAGGTCCACACAGAGCTGCAAGTGGTGAGATGACCACTCAGCCGTGCAAGTGACCTTTGAGCTTAGTCATTATACTGATTGAAAAGGTAGAGGTCTTTTCTTTTCTTTCTTTTCTCAGGAGGATAAGTCCACGATCGCAGGCTCGGCCTGCACAGTTAACACCATGATGGAAGCAAGAGGAACTCAACAATCTCCGCTATACTCGTTTTCGACTACAATTACAAATATATCTATGTCCCTGGTATCTAGATGCAGAATGTTTTCCAAAACCTCAACTCCGGCTGGCTATGCGCTATGCAACGACAACAAATGGAACGACGTTTACAAGTTGAGCTCGAACTTCTTGACGAGGCGCGCTCCGAAGATGTAAAAGAGCAGGGGGATGGGGATGAGACCCAGGGAAATAAAGGCGAGGAGCGAGTTGCCCCAGCCCATGTTGAGGGCCGTGTACATGTCGATGGCGCAGAGCGGGAGCAGGGCACCGGCCAGCGAGCGGAGCACGGCCAGGGCGGCAGTGACGGACGCGGCCGCGCGGGGGTAAACGTCCAAAAGGTAGTTTTGGACACACATCTGGTAGCAGAGTTAGTACTGACTTGCTTGGAGCAGAGTTGAAGTTGAAGAACGCACCATGACACCCATGAGACCAAAGGCGAAGATGACGACGCCGATCATGGGCACAATCCAGTGCACATGGTACTGGATCGTCCAACCGTAGATGAACAGGCCGATAGGGAGGGTGATGCCGGCGGGAATGGTGAAATACGGCGAGAGTCTGATCTCGGGCCGGTGACGCTCGCCCGTGTCCATGTTGGCCTTGACCAGCCGATCCGACAAGGTGCCGAAGACGCCAATGCCAAGGGCCATGCCGATGGCCGAGGGAATGAAGACAAGACCGCTGTTTAATGTCAGTTTGTGTCCGGAGTGCAGGACCACAGCGCAACATACCTTTCACCCTCACCGAATCCATAGTAGCGAGGGAAGACAATGCTGAAGGTTGAGAAGAGGAGATACAGAATGCCATCTAGGGTGCTGTTAGCTCAACCGGTCTATAAGAGTCCCCGAGGTCACTCACAGGTAATCGCAACGTAGAAAGCCATCGAAGTGACGATGGGGGCAAGGAAAAGAAGCTTCACGGGGCGAACGATGGCCGTCTTGAGCTTCTGGCCGGGGCTCATGGCAACACCAGCAAGCGCGCTGCGCAGCTCCTGGTTGCCCGTCTCCTTGCGCAAGCGAGCGGCCTTCTTCTCCAGGATGACGGGCGCGTACGACTCCTTCAGGGTGAAGAAGGTGAAGACGGTGATGATGCCAGCCACAATGGTGATCAGCCAGTACACCCAGCGCCAGCCCGCAGCGCGGATCAGGTACCCTCCGGCAACGGGACCGATGCAGGGGCCGAGCAGGGGACCGAGGGCCCAGGCGGCCATAGCCCGTCCGCGCATCTCGATAGGCATCATATCGGCAATGCTGCCGCTGCCAATGGTAATGGGCACGGAACCGGCAACGCCCATAAGGAAGCGGAAGGCCATCATCATGCCGATGCTGTTGCTGAGGGCAGTGCCGACGGTGAAGAGGGTGAAGAAGACATTGCCGACGTTATAGCAAATGGAGCGGCCGTAGATCTCGCTCATAGGGGCCACGAGGAGTGGGCCAAAGGCGAAGCCCAGGATGTAGACGGAAAGGATGAAGGTGGCGGTGACAGACGACGTCTCGTGGAATTCGACCAGGATTCTGGGGATACCGGGGGCAAACATGGACGAGCCAAGAGGCCTTGCCTGACTGTCAGTTTCTCGACTTGCACATCACACAGCTCCCATCTCACTCACGTAATGATTGTCAGGATGGAGAGCACAGCGACGTTGCTCCACTTCTTGCGCATGGTCCAGTTCATGGGGTTCGCGGGGTCGTCAGGGCCGTCCCAGGAGACGATGTTGGGGTCGCCGCTCTCCTCCCCGCTCTTCTCGCCAGCCGGGCCATCTCTGGAGGTGGGCTCGGAGTCTGGTTCGGGCACGATGGTCGCGGCTTCAAAGTCGGAGTTGAGGTCGTAGGTGCCCTTCTCGAGGTCGAGGTCGGAGCGCTTGGCCTTGTCGGCAAAGGCCGTTTGGGATGAGGAAGGGTCAGCCATGGGGGCGGGCTGCAGGTGGCGTCGTAAGTCACCGGGGATCTGGGAGCGGGTCTTGGCTACGGGAAGATCAGATGCGGGCAGGGCGCGGCATGGTGTGGTCTTGTATTTGTAGCCTAGCTCCCATGCGCCCTCGGCGGACAGGTAACGCCCCGACAGCCCGGGGCCAACCATGCTCGAACCATGCTCCGGTGCACATCCAATTCCTCGGGCTTGGCAGCAGCCGAAAACGAGGAATAACTCCAGCATCCAGACACGCCAGAGCACCCCTTGGACATGAACGAGAGTGGGTTCGGCGGCGCCACCCGGGGCCAAGGCCGGATGCCTGGACCCGGCGGCACATCAACTGCAGTCAAGAATATAATTCCAAGCAGCTGGGACTCTAGATGATGTCAACATGCCGGCCATGTTCCCATGCTGGCCATGCTGGCCATGCCTGGCACATTGTTGTTGGCCCGAAAGGGATCGTATTGTCACTGAAGTGGCGGTCTCGGTGCCGAAGCATGCTGGTTCTGGCGCGTTCCACACACGGCACAACCGAGAGTTTTGCACAAATTCTGCATAACTTGCTCCGGGTGCACGCACTTCCGCCCTGCTTGGGGGAAGCCGCCCCGGATTTACGGCGGGGCTGACCCCTTTCCTTCAGGAATTTTTAACATTTCACCCAACCCATCGTTGCAAGCCCAATCAGCGCTGCCCGTCCCATGTGCAACGTGGGCCGGGCGGACCCCAATTTCGTGTGCCGGTGCTGCTTCTGGAACGAAGAGGCCAGCTGCAGCCAATGGTGTTCAACGCCGTCTCCAACACTCGCTTTCGCTTTCATCAGGCGGAAACCATGGCCCGATGCTCGGTCTCCACTGTGACGAGTTTCCGAACTGACAGTGCTGGCTGTGCCCTCGACGGAGCTTGTTGACGTCCGGTGATGCCACCACCTGCCCATCAATGGACACGCGTATTCATCATGACTGTCGGAAATCTGCAAAGCCGTCGACCACATGGGACGTTCTCATGGCCTCCCGAGTGTTAGGTTTCACTGCAAGGGTTGAGCTTATCTCCGGTCTCGTCCCGCTGTCCGCCGAAGGATGCCAAAACCAAGCTGACCCAAGCCTGCAAGATGCTGGGTGCTACATACCGAATGCCAAGGGCATGGGCATTTGATTACATGAATTCTTGACCCGGCAGCTCTTCGTTGCTTTAAAGCAGCGCTGGCATATGACAGTGTTATACACGAATGTGACTCGGCCTACTTGACGGAGTCGGAAGGTCCAACCTAAAGATTTGAGGAATAAGAACGGCCAAGTCAGCTTGGAGATCCCGAGCATCAATACCCAGCTGCACGCACCCAAACGCCTTTGCTCAACAAGACACAATAACCACAGATCCATAATAAGCCAGCCAGAACATTGCTCAAACCCCACCAGTGCATAACTAACCCCGCCCGCCAGCCAGCTCCCCGTTTCCCCATCGTCCCCACCAACTCTAACTCGTCCCCCCTCCACCCGGCCGCTTCATCAGCCCCGCCAGCGGCGGCGGGCCGAGACTCTCCGGGTCCGGCGCCGGCACTCCGCACCTGACCCCGACGCTCCGCCACACCCCGCCCACCGCCCTCTCCTCCGGGATGAACACAGCCGTGTTGACGTACATCTTGCACCCGCGCTCCGAAAACAGCCGCGCCTGGCACCCGGCCTCCTTGCTCGCCACGAAGTTGCCGCACCCGGCCACCCGCGGCAGGTTGTAGCACTCTTCTTCTGTTGTCGTTGCTGCGGCGGCGCCGGCGGCGTCGAGGACGGGCTGCGGAGGGTTGAGGCGGAAGATGACGCTGCCGCGGCAGGTCGAGGGGCCCGGCACGCCCGAGAAGATGGTCGCTGAGATGGGGAGGCTGGGGCCGAGCGTCGTGTTGCCCGTCGGGTCGCCGTTGATGGTGACTTGCCCGGGCGTGTCTTCGGTGATGTCGACGCCCGCGGGGAGGTTCTCGAGGGCGAGGTTCTGGTAAGGAAATGCGAGGAGGAGGAGGAGGGAGAGGGGGTGATGAGGGCGCATTGCCGGTGATTGTGCTCCTGTGGAGCGTCGGTAGGTGGACTTGACGTAGCCCTTGTCCTATGAAGATAAAGAGCGCGATGTTCAAGCCTGTTCGTTTACACGGCAAGTTTTACGAGGTGCCAACAAGCTGCCAAGTAAATGCTGAAGAAAGAGTTGCGTCGACGAGAAACTGTTGTGGTGTCCTGGCATGGGCAGTGCCAAGCCTCGTCGAGTTTCATCGTGATGCACCTCCATGCCTCAGATCGAGCCTCCCCAAGCGTCAAACGAGACTATTCTAGGTTTGGGCCATGCGTCTGCTGTGATTCTAAGCTACCTGTCCGTAACCGACTACGCTCTTTGCAGACCCTGCACTTCTTGCAGGGAATATCGTCCCCTTTGCGGACTTCCGTTCTCGCCGCAATGATGCTCCTTTTACTGCTTGCAATCGCTACTCAGCCTAACGTCGTAACCCCCAGGCCGCGATGAAT